GTGTGAAAACTGTTATATAAATGAGATATAAATCTTGTTCGTTGGTCACTGTTATGGTCAGCACAGCACACGATTGATTGGTCAGAAGACATTATTAGCAAAGAGGAGACATTCAATGACCACTGAAATGTAACCTATTTCACAAAACAACAAAATGTTGCCATTACAATGCGTTTATTTTAACGTGGCATATTCAGTCAAATCTCCGACAGTTTCTAATGCAGAATTCCTGCAGAGAAATTTCATGTGATTAGTGAGTTAAGGACTCATTCTAACAATCTCAGTAGTTTGTGATGAGAGCTAATTTAAAAATGTATGTAAATTTGGTTAGCAACCAACAGTTTAATGTCAATGCATAGCTTTTTCTGATTGACTACCTAATCCTAACACCTACCAGTCAGACCAATCAAAGAACAGTTTTTTTGATATATATTAAGTTCAGCCTTTTATATTTATGCTTCAAATCAACTGCAAAGTTATTCTGTCCATGCAGTCCTTGATTGTTGATGAGCAGGTGTATTCATGAATAAAACTTTGTGTGATGAACACTACATTTAATTGTAGGCTGTTTAAGCAATTTTCAAAATATATTAAGGTTGTGCTATTACTCGTGTATTACAGTGCATGTTGCAGCCAGTAAAATTGCTTTTATTGGGGAATATAACAAATCTGATATATCAAGTTGAGATAAAATTCAGAGCATTCGTAAATTTGTGTATTTTGTTTGTGAAAATATATTGCATCATATTTATAGTGCTTGTTCTGATGCAATCCGAAACAGGAACTTGTGGTTTGACATTCTAGCGTCTGTTTTTACATCTATATGTATTCACCTATATCTCGCACATACCTGCATCAAACTTCACACGTACATCAGACATCGTATCGAACATATGCACATGCATTTGATGATCCAATTTGTGATGACCATATGGCAGCCATTTTAAGGCAAAAAATGCATGAAAATCTCAGTCGTGTGTGGTGAGGTTTTGTTTAAACTTTAACACAATGGAGCCTTGATGCATATCATTTGATTTTTAAGATTGGTTTTCACTTGTTCCATGATCCAATTCAAGATAGTTGATTTGCTAGAAATCTAAATCACAAATTTCTATTATTCTGGAGCAATATTACGTGGACAGATTTTGTTTAAACCGACACAGTAAGGAAACTTTGTGCACAACATTTTACTTTATGGATGAGGTTAAAAATGGTCGAATTGTTTCTGGATCCATATCTCAGGTGATTGGAAGGTATTGGAATGGAGTCTGTAATCAGTGTAAGCACATTGAATTGCGGGAAAATCAATGCTTATCAACACAAATGTTGCACGTGCGTGGCGCTACGACTACCGCCCTTTAAAACTTTAAATTAGAAATTATTATAATTTTTGTATGCAACTATCATATTGGGTAGCACAGTCACATTACTTCCACAACACTGGAATACTGAGTCACACAGTGTATGAACTCTTTGACCACCAGACAGTCACTGCACAACAAATAATGTTTTCTAAAGTCTGGTGTTTGAAATGATAATAAAACATTAGTGCAGTGGACTGTACAGACTATGATGTCACATGATTAGTGACATCATTACTCTCTCATCCTCAAATGTTTTAATTCATTTTCCTGTCTAGTTTGCATAAATTTAACATTTGAATCCAAGTTTTAAAATTTTGCGCGTTCACCACATTTGTTTGAGGAAAGGTCAAGGTGTGGACATGAGTCTGGATGTTGAGAGGAGGTAGTGGATAAGTGTATTTTTTTCTTGTATTTAAATCAAAATATTTATAAATTCCTTATTTCTATGGCAACTGGTTTCATTTCATTATTATTTTAATAGTTGTTTTTATGTTGTTTTATTAAACTTTTCACCACCAGTTCCCTTCTTTTCATCACAAATAGTTTGCACTTTTTTTCAGAAGATTAGAACAAAAATAACCAAATATTTTGTCTCCAAAAATAGAGTTCATTTCCAGAAATAATGGATACAAAAAAAAAAGCTACAGAAAAATTTGGACAAAGTCTGGTGGCGAAAAGGTTAAATTATTTTGATCTTTTCCTATATTTCTGTGATTTGTTAATTTATGAATACATTGTTTTACCTTTTAGTGTCTACAGCATTGTAGTTTTTGGAACAAATTTGGTGACTAATACGTAACACAATAGTTGTAATAATGTGACTACAAAGTGACTGTACTTTGATGTATGCACAGGAGTGTTGTGGCTACATGTAAAATAAATCAAATATATGCAACAATCTAGGTTTCAGCTTTATTGCATTTGTATGTTTTGTTTCACATATTGATAAACCCACCATGGCCATCTTTTTTTAACCAATTCACGGCCATTTTCATTCCAAAAAACTCCTTTTACAATTT